GACATTGGTTTTCTTGATTTACACTGTAATTTTCAAGCTACTTTATATGACCCTATAGACAGCAAAAGCTTCATAGATAATATCAGCAATACCTCCAAATCATCGTACAGACATCATGATTCAGAGATTACGAGACCTCATCCAGCCTGTAACTGAATGAATATTTATACAGGACAAAGGAGTACTTATAATGTGCTCCTTGCAGCTCAGTGCAGTAATGCTCCTGTACATAAACCAACAATTAAATGTAATCTTATACACTTATAGTTTTAAAAGAAATTCAAACCAGTCCTTGGAATTAAATAACCCCAGTGCTAGAGAAAATGACTTCCAGAACATCAAGCCTAACATGCAAACACAGGGCCTCTGAGCCACAAAGGAACAAACACTTTTCCACAGGGATAAGGCCTTGTTGTATAACTACTTGTGAGGTCAAAGATCCAGATGTTCCCACAGACAATCAAAAAACTATTACTGGTCAAATTGTATGACCATCTCCATATGGACAGCTCTGAGACATGCATTTGGCCTCGGGAAGGAGACTTCTGTAAGTTCTACTGGCAATCAATGGCAACTCCAAGCTAGAACTGGAAAATCCAATAACTTGGAGAAATAGCTGACAGGTCTTATAAGCTACAAGTGAAAATGAAAATCGTGTGTATTTTGCTAACAGTTGTATTCTGCTTTGGCATAGCTTACTAAACCCCACAACATACTTTGATAAGAGCAGTATTAAAAAGTCACCTCCTGTTGGATCTCTCTCATTTCATGAAGGTAGAGACCTTCTGTCTAGTTCACTGCTATTCCCCGGCACCTAGATCATTTGTCACATCCTAGGCTGTCAATAAATATTGCTTGAAACAAAGAATGAATGGATGATTTGGGCCAAAAAATATACCCGATCCATTCATTGCTATATGGCAGTCAAGTCAAAAGCCTGTGAGATGGTGAAAATTCAAATTAAAAGAGAAGAAAAGTGAGTAAAATTGTACATAAAATTTAAATAAGCTCATATTGCAAGTTTTGATGGCATTACTCCATTACTCCATTAAGAAGTTGGCATCTGGGGTAGTGCAGTGAATCTACCATGAATGCTTTAAGTGGAGTCCAACCCAAAGGCAAAGATTTCTCCAAGTATTATATTTTTGAAACATAATTTTCCCCAAAAAGCAAGAGTCATAAACATGCTGTTTTTCAACCAGCAGCTCTTTCCACTGATGAATGTTACTAAAATTAAACAATAAAACAAGTAAAATTTGTTTTTAAATCTTCTTGATCAGGGTCCATATGAGGAAGTAGAAGTAATATCTATATGCCATCTCATTAGTATATGTTTGAAGGGTTAAACCAGCCAAGTGTTTCAAGTGTTGTATAAAGGTCACTTGGGGATTACTTGGGGTAGTAGGTGCTGTGTTGTTGATGGTTTATAATTCTCATTCTAATCCCTTTATTGCCCCAAGACCCTCTTCAACCCTCTTACAAGTAGAAGTGATCATTGATTTGAGAGTTTATTATTAGTGTCAATAAAGTAGAGGAATCCTGAAGATCGTGCTTCATCAGTAAATCTACCTGTGCAGCTGACGTTGCGGAAGGACATGTATTCATCTACTAATAATGCTTGTTAATTAACTAATGCTCAGCAAACTAGCAAATTTTTGCTTATATTGAATCTTTTTAACCTAATGACATAAAATTCTTTGTGTGTTTTCAGTAAAGCAAGAAATTGAAAGTTTCTTTCAAAAAAAAGTTCAAGAAATTGAACACAAAATAGCAAGTAACTTTAGAAGTAAAATAATGCTTATAGACTCATTGTATTGACTTACTAGCTTTAAATTTCAAAAGGTTGGGCTACTTAAGGATAGGGGCTATGTCTTAGCTTTGAATTCTAGTACCAAGCAGGATGTTTGGCATAAAGCAAGTGCCTAATAAACATTTACATGCGTGGCCAAATGAAGAAAATATCACATACCAAGGAATCTGATCATCAGGTAAACAAATTCTACTAAACTCAAACATGTCAATACAATAACCTTTCTGGTTAACACTGTGAGGATTAAGTGTGTATCATATCCGCCCCCCCAACAATGCATATCACAGAACTGCTGTCTACTACACTGTAGTTTGGTGGTTAAGAGTCTCTTGTCTGCAGTCTCATTAACTGTGAGTTTGAATCCCAGCCCCACTATTTCCTAGCACTTTGACCTTGGGAATTGACTTATTCTTTCTCCCAAAACGTCTTGTTTCCTCACTTGAAAAACTGAGACACCAAAGAGGTGTTAAGAGATTAAATGAGATAACCCACGTGAGGTCCTTAGTGCAGTGCCCAGTACACAGGAGGAAGTGGACAGTCTATGCCTCTGTAACTATTCTACCTTCACACTCTACTCTGGCCTTCATCAGAGTCAAGAAAACAGAAAAGGAAAAGTCTTATTTTTCACCCTGGACGTTGTACCACTTTGCCCTCCAATCAAAGTGAATCTTTGCTGTGTCCGTTGTTTGTCCCACAAGTTCTGTATTTTTTTTTAATTTTTAAAATATTCTATTTATTTATTTGTGTGTGTGAGAGAGAGAGAGTGCACGCACACAAGCATGGGGGAGCAGCAGGCAGAGGGAGAAGCAGGCTCTCCGCTGAGCAAGGAGCCCGGTGTGGGACACAATCCCAGGGCCCTGGGATCATGACCTGAGCCAAAGGCAGATGCTTAACTGACTGAGCCACCCGGGCATCCCTAGTTCTGTATTTTTGAGGAAGTGCAAAGAAGGGGTGGCAGAAAGCTTGGGCTTTGGAATCCAGCAGCTCGTGGATGGTATTTACCAGCCACATGCCCTCAGGACCTGAGGATTAGACGTTATCAGTAAAGTTCCCGGCTCCATGGTGTTACGCGCATCTATGTAGCAACTTCTCCATTCAGTGTCTACCTTCTCTTCGCCACAAGTTCACCATATTATTCAAGGCCCAGATAACATGGTGATCCTTTATGAAACTTTCCTGATATTTTTTGAGCTTAAGTTAACCTTTTTCTTTCTTGATTTCCTATAATTCTTACAGCCGCTTTCCATTTTCTTGTTCACATTTTCACTTCTTTGTCTATTAGACCATGAGGTCTTTAAGGCCTGAATCCAGATCAGCTTTAAATATTCCATATATTTCCCCTTCAGCCTCTGGAATAGTGTGTGTGTGTGAGAGAGAGAGAAAGAGAGAGAGAGAGAGAGAGTATGGTCATGAAAAATATTTAACATGCATCTGTTTTTAAAATCTTGTTACGACCTTGCCTTATTGTACAAAGATTTGGAGGTAGATGCAGATTTGTTTTTGTGCACATATGTGCGTGTTTATATACAGATCACCACCCCCATACACACACTTACACACACATACATTGCAAAGGGTATTAAACCTAGCTTAAAGTCTGGAATTAAAACCTCAGAATGTTCCAAAAAATAACATTTAGTTCACAGTGCTAATAACCTCACTGTAGAATAAAGTTCTTTGTGTTGAAATCTCCTATTTACTTTGAAGTTATTAAGAGAGGAGACATTCTCTTGTGACACTTTCTGTAATATATTTTGTTGCTATGATTCCAGGAAAAAATTTTGATCAGTGTTACTCATTTATTACAAATGAAAATATTAAAAGTTTGGAATCAAAGAAGTAATATTCAATTGCCGTCTTGGCCTGCCACCATTCATACCTTTCACATTCACTGTTGCCAACGTTCCTTTAGAGCTAGCTTTTTGTTAGTGAAACATTTCTTCATCTAAACCCCAAGAGTAATTCTTTTCTTTTCTTTTTTTTTGTTTTCAAAGTGAATAATCTTAATGTTGGATAGCATTCTCGATTTCATCTGTACAAGCGGGCCATCAGTCCTTCATATACTATCACCCATACCAGATCATGGAAGATTATTCTTTTAAGAGAGCACTTAGTTGAAATTGATGGATAAGGAAGTAAAATTATGGAATTTGTCTCAAAATAAAGTTCTAAAACCGAGATCTGATTTTGAGTATCTTTACGTTAAGTACTCACTGGGTGTATGTGTTAGTTACGTAAAATAATTACTAAATCTTTATTTTATTTTCAGATTTTAGACCCGTCAGTGGCTTTTGCTGCCTAAAAAGGGAAAGTAATACCTTTTCTGATCTTTAACATGCAAAACCTTTAATGTAAGGCAAATTTTAAGGAAGATAAAATACCAGTCAACCTATTAACAAATGATGTTTCAAACATGTGGTTAGGTGAGTTGGCAAGAATGCTTCTGCATAAGGAAACTATTTTGATGATCAGAATAAGCAAGCCAAAGAGCTCTGGCAAATGATACTTTTAAAAAATGAAATATAACACAAACTTTCAATTACACATGTAACTCCAAGTGGCCCCAGAAATTGTATGGTGGATGATAAAGTAAATGTAAATTAAAGTCTTGGTCATGCACGTACCACTCACATATCTGGAAGGCGAATATCCTGAAAATAATTTTTATGACATTTTTGATTTCTCCCTTGTTTTCTTGCTCAGTTGCACAGGCCAGAACCTCAGTGTCTTCTTTGATTTCTACCTTTCTCTTGCTACTTCTTACTCTTACTTCCCTCAGCCTCAAAATAATTTAATGACTTTTCAAGTCCTTTTGCTTCGACTCAAATCCATCTATCTTTCCCTACCCCACTGCCAGCACCCCAGTTCCTGCACTCTCATCATGCACTTGGATTTCTGCACAGCTGCCTAATAAATCCTCCCTTCTTACTCTTCTAATTGTCGCATCGCAGCCAGAATGGTTTACAGTCTGAATCGGTCATTTCCCTGCTCAGAAGCCTTCCATGGCTACCCCTCCCCTCAAAATAACCCACAATTCTTAGTCTGGCATAGAAGGCCCTACATCTCCCACCTCTCGCTCCCTATACTGCTGTCGGCTTACTGAGCTACCTTCCCAAAGCTTCACTATTCCGTGCCCCTTAGGTCCCTGCACCTTCACCAAGGAGCTCCTCCTTATCTTCTTTCAGCTTACAGCTTTGACACCACCTGCTCCTCCTGGAGGTCTTCTTCAATCTCTAATGTTCTGCCGAGCACCTCTTCTGAACACCATGGTAGCACTCAGGATAGACCTATATGGAAACATTAATCACTCTGAGGTAGTTCCCTAGACTAAAAGGCAGGTAAGTCCTCTAATTTATCTTCAGCTACAGTGTCTCATACTTAATTGGCACTTAATAAATGTTTGTTGAATGAATGAAGGAAGGAAGGAAATAAGGGTGAAAGGACATGTGATTCTAACAGAACAAAAGAGAACCCCCACAAAAGTCTACATAGTCAACCAGGAGTAAGTAAAAACAGCACTGGGTGTCCCAAGTATGAGAACACCTAGATTCAAAACAACAATAAAACAAAAAATAAAAATCCTTGACACTCTTTTGATACCAGAGTTTTAGTCTTGCTGGAGAAAAAAGACTTTTGGAATGAAGTAAGGCAGATGCATTGCATACTTATTGTTTGTTATTAGCATGAAAGGGTATCATTGGAAAAGAGCAAAATCCAATGTAGGGGGATTGGTTCTATTCTTGGTCCTCTGCTTTTTGTGTAAATAGGGAGACATAATCTTCATGATCTGTTGGCATTCTGAAGTTTAAATGTATCAAAGAAAAAAACCCCACAATCAAATTTAAAGCTTAAATGCCTCCTTTCTCTGTATCAACATAAAAATATATTTTGGGGCCCATATTATATGTAACTAAACATATGGCTGAAAAATTGTACAAAACATTAAAACTGTTTATGAGAAGAAAGATCTACTCATTTGTGAGTTTTTAATACTTATAATTAGTATGCTAATTTTATGGTTATATTACAGTTTTTCAACTAAACTCTTATTTTCTTGCTTACTCCAACTGAAAAGAGATAAGGAAATTTTATTTGTTTTGGAAAAATAAATTCAATTAAGAAAAAGATACACTTTCTGTTTGAGGCGAGTTCATTTAAAGTGGCTGAAATTTAAAACCCAAATTCAATTTTAAGCAGTGACAGTGGCCAATGCATATAAATAAATTCCACCTGCCCACCCAGATCCAGCTTAAAGACCACCTTCCCTGTGAATCATCCCCACGCCTGCCACACTGTTTAGCTCACCATATGTGACAACCCCCTTCTCCAAATCTTTATGCCAATTTGCTTCTTTCTATGGTCAGCATTCCTCCTTTATTTTTTATATTAAGATTCATTACTCCTGTTTAGATTTTAAGTTCCTTAAAGGATGGAAATATTTTTCCTCTTTGGATTCCCAACATGACCTAGATAACACAATTAATTCTTAAAGCTCTGACAAATAGAAATAAACATGTATTTGTTTTGCTATTGTGTATTTCAGTTCATTACCAATAACAAACACTTGTACAATTCTAAAGCATCTACAAGCATGAAAACTTGACAAATGGTAACATTTATCTTTTGAGAATCCCTTTCCATACATCCTTATTTTTCTCTAACTTTCCAGTATGATTCCCAGGTCCCACTGATGTAATATTCTCCATATATGTATGTGTGACTTATCCATATCCACTTCTGTGCATTCATCCAAGATGAACTTTTACTTCATCAAACCTCAATTATGTAGGACCATCACATGTTTCACTTGCTCACCTGCTTTCCTCCAAAAAGGCCTTCATAATTAATCCCTCTTAATTTGGATCAGTTTTCCAAATTGCTTATCTCAATATATATTTTGTTTTATATACTTTTTGTACATAAAGATAGTCTGCATTTTTCTTTAAAAACGTGACATGTAGATGATTGGAGCAAGATGGCAGAGGAGTAGGAGACCTAAATTTCATCTGGTCCCAGGAATTCAGCTAGATAGGGCTCAAACCATTCTGAACACCTACGAACTCAACAGGAGATAGAAGAAAAGAATAACAGCAACTCTCTGAATAGAAAAGCAACCACTTTCTGGAAGGTAGGAGTGTGGAGAAGTGAAACCGAGCCGATATTCAGGAAGATAGACAGCGGGGGAGGGGGTCTCCATCAGCCACTACCAGCAAGTGATAGAGCCGCAGAGCACAAAATCGGAACTTTTAGAAGTCGGCTCCGCTGAGGGATGTCACTCCAGTGGCTAAGCGGGAGGTGGAACCCTCACGCGACAGTATGGTCTCAGGACCCTCGGGGTCACAGAAAGACCGGGGGTACCTGAGTGTGGCAGAGATCTCAGGTATCGGAGCGGGGAAGCTGGCTGCAGAGACAGAGCTGAGGCGTGGGATCTCAGCTCGGGGTTGCCATAAACTGTGATCCACGGCACAGTCGGGCCACTGCTCCTCCAGCAGGAACCCAACAAGGGGCAGATCCGGGGAGACTCCCCTTCCTCCCCTGGGCGGAGCAGCGCGGGAGCGCACTGCAGGGATCTGCTGGGTTTGGAGACTCCACACGGGGTTGGGTGCCAGAGATAGAAATGCTTGGTCACAGGCCAGGTAAGCACCGAGTGTGGCCAAGTGAGCACGGAGTGTGGCCAGAGACCAGGGAGGCGGGAGTGATTGACTGCTTTTCTCTGGGGGCTCACTGAGGAGCGGGGCCCCGAGTTCTCAGCTCCTCCTGGGAGGAGATTGGGAGGCCACCATTTTCACTCTCGTCCTCCAAAGCTGTGCAGAAAGCTTGCAGGGCAAAAAAGCTTCCGAGAGCAAATCCATGCAGATTACTTAGCCTGGACCTGGCAAGGGCGGGGCAATTCTGCCTCCCGCAAAGACATTTGGGAACCACGGCAACAGGCCTCTCCCCCAGAAGATCAGCTAGAACAGCCAGCCAAGACCAATTTTACCAATCAATGAGAATGGCAGAACTCCGCCCTAGGGGAATACAGCACATAGAATTCATGGCTTTTTCCCCATGATTCTTTAGTCTTTCAAAGTTAATTTTTTTTAACTTTCTTTTTCTTTTTTTTTAATTTTTCTTTTTCCCTTTTTCAACCAACATCTTATGAATCCCTTTTTTAAAAAATCTTTTTTAAATCGTGGGATACAGTTTCTTCTAACAGACCAAAATATACCCTAAATCTCTACTGTATGGCTTTGTTCTAGTCTCCTGCCTGATCACATTCTCTCCCTTTTTTTTTTAAATCCTCTTCTTTCTTTTTTCAACCAACTTCTTATCTTATCAATTCCTTTTATAAAATCTTTTATAATTTTCATCTTTACAGTCATATTCCAACCCTTCATCATATTTACCCTTATTTTTGTACATATATGTTTTTCTTCCTTTAAAAATGTTGGGAGGCACTTTCTTCTAACAGACCAAAATATGCCCAAAATCTAGTGTGTGGCACTGATCTATACACCAGCCTGATCATATGTGATCATATTCTGGTGTTTTTTTTGTTTGTTTGTTTATTTCTTTTTATCTTTTTCTGTTTTTTTTCTTTTTTCTTTCTTTCCCTTTCTTTTCCCCCAGTTTCAGGTCTCTTCTGATTTGTTTAGTGTACATTGTTCTGGGGTCATTGTTACCCTGTTAGCATTTTGTTCTCTCATTCATCTATTGTCCTCTGGACAAAATGACAAGATGGAAAAAGTCACCTCAAAATAAAGAACAAGAGGCAGTACCGACTGCCAGGGACCTAATCAAAACAGACATTTAGTAAGATGTTGGAACTAGAGTTCAGAATGACGATTATAAAGATACTAGCTGGGCTTGAAAAAAGCATAGAAGATACTACAGAAACCCTTTCTGGAGAAATAAAAGAACTAAAATCTAACCAAGTCAAAATAAAAAAGGCTATTAATGAGGTGCAATAAAAAATGGAGGCTCTAACTGCTAGGATAAATGAGGAAGAAGAGAGAATTAGTGATATAGAAGACCAAATGATGGAAAATAAAGAAGTTGAGAAAAAGAGAGATAAACAACTACTGGATCACAAGGGCAGAATTCGAGAGATAAGTGATACCATAAGATGAAACAATATTAAAATAATTGGGATCCCAGAAGAAGAAGAAAGAGAGAGAGGGGCAGAAGGTATATTGGAGCAAATTGTAGCAGAGAACTTCCCTAACTTGGGGAAGGAAACAGGCATCAAAATCCAGGAGGCACAGAGAACACCCCTCAAAGTCAATAAAAATAGGTCAATACCCCAACATCTATTGTAAAACTTATGAGTCTCAGAGACAAAGAGAAAATCCTGAAAGCAGCTCAGGACAAGAGATCTGTAACCTACAATGGTAGGTAGATTGACAACAGACTTATCCAGAGACCTGGCAGGCCAGAAAGGACTGGCATGATATATTCAGAGCACTAAATAAGAAAAATATGCAGCCAAGAATACTATATTCAGCTAGGCTGTCATTGAAAATAGAAGGAGAGATAAAAAGCTTCTAGGACAAACAAAAACTAAAGGAATTTGCAAACACAAAACCAGCTCTACAACATATATTGAAAGGGGTCCTCTAAGCAAAGAGAGGACCAGAAAGGAACACAGAAAATATACAGTAACAGTCACCTTACAGGCAATACAATGGCACTAATTTCATATCTTTCAATAGTTACACTGAATGTAAATGGGCTAAATGTCCCAATCAAAAGACACGGGTTATCAGATTGTATATAAAAAAAACAAGATCCATCAATATGCTGTCTGCAAGAGACTCATTTTAAATCCAAAGACACCCCACATTGAAAGTGAGGGGGTGGAAAACCATTTACCATACTAATGGACACCAGAAGAAAGCTGGGTTGGAATCCTTATACCAGACAAATTAGATTTTAAACCAAAGACTATAATAAGAGTTGAGGAAGGACACTATATCCTACTTAAAGGGTCTATCCAATGAGAAGATCTAACAATTGTAAATATCTATGCCCCTAACATGGGAGCAGCCAATTATATAAGCCAATTAATAACAAAAGCAAAGAAACACATCAACAACAATACAATAATAGTGGGGGACTTTAACACCCCCCCTCACTGAAATGGACAGATCATCTAGGCAAAAGATCAACAAGGAAATAAAGACTAAATGATACACTGGACCAAATGGACTTCACAGATATATTCAGAACATTCCATCCCAAAGCAACAGAATACACATTCTTCTCTAGTGCCTATGGAACATTCTCCAGAATAGATCACATTCTAGGT